GGGGGGGAAAGAGGCGGGCACTGCACCCCCATGCACCCCCTACCAGTAGCCCATGGATTCTACCCAAAATTAAATGTTTGATTTAAAATATCAAGGTGAAAAGTCAGAAAGAAGATCTGATACAAACTGATCATACACTGTGTTCCACTCATTCCAGGAGACTTGTTTGCTCCTACATCTAACAATGTTAAGCCCATGGCGCGCACACATGGGAAGAATTTGCACCCCGTGAGGATTGTTATACGTCAGAGCCAACATTCCATCCTCCCTCATTACAATACTTCACTTGTAACCCATACACATGCTAACTTGAATAGTTACAACAAGAATCAGTGTCAAAAACTACACAACTTAGCCATCCTGTCACAAAAACTTCATTTCTGCAGCAGACAAAATCTGTAAGAGTGGTTGGCTACATAACACATCTTATTCCAATTTTGTCTCCCCTTACAAAACTGTACAATGACTACTGTTTGCAAGTGGAATGTTTTTGTTTGAGCAGGGGAAAAAATCTAACATGTTTTAGCTATTTTCTCTCTGGATAAGCATTAGTTCTTTAGAAGTTTCTTTGTACTGCTGTTGATTAAAGATGTCTGTTTTAACTTTTTTTTACATCAAATTTGAAGTGGCAGGTACTAGTCACATGAAAAAGCTACTGGATATCAGTAAAATAACTACATATCTCATAGATAAAAGTGGCTAATCTAAGAATACCATACTTGTTTTTAGATACTGAAATTTAGCTATAAATACATGCATTTTAAAATTCATTGGGAGTGTACAAATTTTACCATGCATTACACTTCCTAATAAAACCTGTACTTTTTTTCTCTAACATCACAGAGCTGAACACAAGATTTAGAGCACATTTTCCAAGGATTATGATACCCTTTGACGCAGAAAGGATTAAATAGTAATTTGTAATCCTGGATTCCATACCGCAGAGGAAACTGATGCTCCTCATTGCCCTATCTTATAATAGATAATGTTCACCTTCTGGAAAGGATTTTGTGAGGCAACAAAGCAGCAGTTCTTTGTTAATGGTTAAAAATGAACGCAAATGAAACCCCAAAGCAGATTACATGGAAGATAGCCTTAAATATATTATCTAAGGAACCAAAGATTTGAAAAGGAGATTAGAAGCCTAATGCCAAGACTCTTTCTTTGGATACAACGGAATTTCTAACCTGCACGTTTATGCTGTGCTGGTCAATCACATGAAGGTATATGTCTTTCCTGAGTGCTCTTCACACCAGAAACTCAATCAAAGCATAAGTGTTCTAGGAAAATGTACTTGGTAGCCATGTTGGTCTGAGACAAAAAGACATACAAAAAACTAGAGCTCTTGGTTCCAAAATAGTTTTGTGTATGTATTTTTGTCTCAGACCAACACGGATACCAAGTACACCCCTGAAACATGGAAGATGCCGAATTTCAGTTGATTTTGGATTTTAAACTTCATTGCAGAACTACAAGGAAGTTCTTTTTTACCTCCCTGCCTGCCATCTGACACCTTCAGGGAAGGAATTCTACCTAATCAACACATCAAAGAGCTACTCAACACAGCTCACAAATACACTCATGGACCCAGAGGGACAGGTTTCCATCTTCAGCTCCCTTTGTGCAAAAATGAAGTTTATTTACTACCTATGGGGACTTTTTACCATCTTGTACCATCTACACTTTTCCCAGAGCCTGACGAAGGGACTTTGATCCCGAAAGCAATTTTCTTGTCATTTTCCAGTTGGTCTAATAAAAGGTATCATTTTGGAACCAAGAGTTCTAGTTTTTTTTATGTCTAGGAAAATGTAAGTATTTTTCCAAAGAGCATTTGGACATTACAAGATTATTGTTCACTGTGTCGCGTCCCAGGCACATCTGAACACAATGCATCAGGTACAGCTTGTTCTATTATTTCAGTGTTTTCACTGGAATGTTAAAAAAGACAAAACCAGCCCAGTAGGGGCAAAAGGAGAAAAACAGTAAAGCCACTTTCAAGGGATATCATCTGAAAGTCATGCCCACGCCAGCTATTAACCATAATCGACACTACCCTTATTTCTAAAATATTCAAACTATAATAAGCAAGAAACACAGCAATCAGCTTTGCTAATTGAACTTCTCTAGATCTGTTTGGTAGTTTAGTCCTATTGACTCAAAAATCAAAGTCTAGCTACCAGGAGTCATGATCAAAAAGAACAGGTGAAAAAAAAAATCACATTTGGAGTCTTTTAAAGGCAAGTTACTTGTACATCATTGTTTTCCAGCAACAGTGTCCAACTCGCTTGACCCTGTGAGCTCAATGAGTGGCATGAGGTCAGTCTATGCTCCCCCACCCCCAACACACACACTCTCCCATAAGCCTCATCCAGTACATCTGACTACAGACCTAGTGAGCACCATGGGCAGCGCAGCCCGGGAACTAGCTTCAGTGAGTGCCACAGGTGGAGCACACATCCCAGTCCACCACAGTGCATAGGTCAACAGGGGGTCAGATTATGGGGCTCCACAAACCACATCTGTGGGCCACGTTTGACACTCCTATTTTACAGAATGTAATGTGGCATCATATAAGATATGTGCCTGGGAAGTACTGTATAAGAAAAAAAGGTGCCAACATCAGCTTTTTAAATACAGGGCAATAAAAATGATTCTTACTAGATGAAACACTTTTAAAAGAAAAAAGTAAAATAAGAAAAGTTCAAGGGTATGTGTGTGTTCAGTATGATGTTTAAAATCATCACATCTCATTTTACAAAATGTAAAATGTTAGGTAAGCCTAGAGAGCAACATTACTTATAGAAGTTATGCAGATATAACCACACCTGAATACCAGTGGGTACTTGTATTAAATGATTGCCTAGGGGACTGTGAAGGATAAAATCATTCCTAACAGTGCTGCTATCTGAATATCATAATACTGTTCTTTAATTTGCTGTACATGGTTACTGAAGTGGGCAGCCTGTCCTATGCATCTTTCATATGACATCGTGGCTTATTCTTGACAGTACACGAGTGGATTGGACTGGTGGCAAGAGAAAAGTAGTGTTGCCTGAATTACAGGTTAACTGATAGGTTGGCTACTGCTAAAAGTGGCAAGAGACAGGTCTACAGCCTGACCTTTTACTGCTTACATCTCAAAGCGCAAATACTTATCTCAGTGTCCATCTAGCTACCAGAAACAGTGATATACAGATCCTTACCTATACCAGCTGCAGAGACCCAGGAGTGGGGATGTGGGTGGTATGCAGACTTCTTGAATTTGCTGAGTTCTTCACATTTCTCTCCAGTCTGTTCTCTATATTTATAGATAGGTTGTTCTAATAAATATTATTTGATAATGGTTTTCATTCTAATTTGTTTTATTGAAACTTTTGAAAATGGAATAAACCAGTTCTCTTGTGGACATGGAACATGTCAATTATTTTATGTCCCAATTAAAATTACAAATTCTGGAAGGGAGGATTTTTATGCCCTTGCTTCATCATCGTGGAAAGTTGGTTGCCACCACCCTGGGTTTTCTTCCCCCACCTTGGTTCACTGACAAGGCTGCTTTCTTTTTACAATTTATCTATGAAACTTAACAGATATATTTATTATAGAAAAATTACGGATAATACATTTGGTTACATTAATCACTATTATTAACATTTTAAAGCTAAAGCTATGATATAATATTTGGATTACCTACTTTAAGGTCAATTTTCCATAATGTTTCCTTCCAGGCCTTGTGGTCCATTTAATTTGATCTAGTTATTGGTTTAACTGGACATGCTATTGCTTCCTTTATATTGCTAACCAGATTGGTTATAATGTCTGCAAATGGGTTTAATATACAGTTAACTCAGACGTTTGGGCCTTCTACTTTAGCCACACAGCTTTGCCTAGGCCCTTTGAAAATAGCCAAGGATGGCAACAGTACTGGATATATTTGGTTACAACATCAAGGATTTGTGATCTGTGGTAGAGACTAGCAGCCTTTAACTCCTTTGCCAGAGTACTGCTAAGTTTGCAATACGGAGTGTTCTGGGGACAGGGCTACCTGATCGACTATCCTTCCTAGTTTCTGTACCAGCTTTAAGGTGTTTTGTGGCTAGGGCTGATCAGATAATGAATTGAATGTGATATAATGATGAAAACTGATTCAAAGGAGGAAGCAGGCTCTTCTTCCTTACCTAATATCTATAACTTTGGTAATGAGATCCTCTCAGTCTTAGATGTAGCCATTCCCTCCATTACTAGCAGAAGCCAGTGGGAAGTGTCTAGATATGTAGTTGGCAGATGGTATCTCCTGGTTATAGTAGGAAATCTGTAGTCAGTTCCTGAAGGAACTGGTTCAAGGTGACCTCACCTGATGTTAATCTTATCAACTGCTGTTTTAAAATCTTTTCATTTTTGGAGCAGGTTACTGAAAGACAGGGACATGAGACAAATCTCAAAGAATCAACTTTTTTCAATATCTATATCTTTACCATCTGAGTTTCAGCTTTAATTGTGACAAAGATGGCAAAATTTGTGCTGGCAGGTGATCTAACAGAGAAAAAGATGCTAGTATTTGCTAAATGCTAATACTAATGTGTTAGCAGCTTCCAACACCATGAATCAGAAAGTGCTGTTGACACACACGTAGATGGTTGAACAGCGTTATTTGGAGGTGGCTTTACATACTTCTTTAGTAGCATTCTCAGCTCCATGAAAATCAGCTGCTCTTCCTTTCTCAACAACTTTTCCAACAGACCCTGGCCAAAAGTGAGGTAGGAAGGACTGCAGGATGCTTTTGACTTTACTGAAAGCAGTTATTTGGTAGGGGTGCACTGATAAATATTTTCTTGGCTGATACCAATAGCCAATTATTAACCAGCCATATTACCCGATTTACAGGAATGCAGCATCCAGCAGGTAAGTCTGTGGTGGGGGAAGAGACACGGGAGGGGAAGGGGATGAGGGGCAGATTGAGGCTTCCACAGAGAGGGAAGGAGTGGGACAGGAGCAGGTGCCGCCCAGCTAGGGCAGCGAATGGGACCTCAGGGCCAGAAGCTGGACAGAGCTGCAGGTGGCTCATCCAGGGGGAATAAGGGTGGCTCCTTGCTGCTGCATACACCCTCAGGTAAGGCATGGAGGGCATGTGGCCCCCCAGATTTGTGCACAGGTGAGGGAAGGCTGCCCATTGCAGGCTTAGGGCCAGGGGCAGTGCCTGCCTCTTCCTGGTGGTGGGGCTGAGCCAGGGCTGCGCTTGGAGTGGGCAGAGGCGGAGCGGGCTGGGGTGGAGTGGGCAGCGATGGCACTGGGAGGAATGGCTACGGGAGGGGCTCCCGGCCCCGGGGTCCCATTCACTGCCCTGGGCTGGGCAGCACCTACCCTTGCCCCAACTCCCACCCTCATTGTGGGGGCCTTGAAGAATTTAGAAGAACTAAAGAACTGAGAGAGCTGCAAACAAAAATGCAGGAATTGCTAAAGGAAGCCAGAGAAGGAAGACAGGTATGAGAGGAATTGGAAAAGACAAAGCAGGAGCTGGAAAGATGGTTTAACAGTAAGAGGAAAGAAAATATTTTTAGCACAAGCACCGTGGGTGGAAGAAAATGAAGTGCATTCCTGATATATTTTGGCCAGAGTGAAGGCAGCAAAGAGAGGGCTAAAAGCAGTACAGATAGAAGGTGAAGCCCAAACAGAAAAAAGCAGGAGATGCTGGGAGCAATGAGGCGCTTCTATGAACTGTACCAGAAGAAGGAAATAGACAGAAAGAAAATGAAGAATTTTCTGGAAGAGACTGAAGAAAAACTGAAGGAAGAGGTGATACAGAAGATGAAATAAAAGGTAAGTTTTAAAGTAGGGGTGGACAATTATTTTGCCTGGAGGGCCACTTAATGAGCTTTAGTGAGGTGTTGGGGGCCATACAAATACAATTGATGAAGATATTTTACCAAATTATAGATAAAAAGCAAATCATATGCTAAAAAATAAATCAAGCATCTACTATAATAAAATTAAAATATTTTTCAAAATTTTTTTGGTCTTATTTATGTTTTTGTTCGAGTAGTATATAGAAGGTGTGTATGTGGGTGGGGTGTGTGCGAGGGTGTGTACACGGAGTGCATGCTGTGTGGGGGATATGACGGGGGTTCCCTCGAGAAAGCTTTGCAACTCCCTCCCTTCTCCCAAGCCCTTGGTGGGAAGACATAAGCTCTTCCTGCCATGGGGCGCAGAGGGGTGGGAGGGTGAAGAATGGACATGGGCCCATGGCACCAATGCATGCCTGCCTGCACCCATGGTGCCTCCCTCCCTCTTACTTGGCCCCAAGGTGGGGCAACCGGGCCAGAGCGGGGCACAGTGTGGGGGAACTACAAGTCCTGGCAGTCTCAGAGGCTGCCATGGCTGCTATTAAAAAGGTGGTGAGCAAGTGAAGTGACAAGATCCTGGAACGCTTGGTACCACAACTGCCCTGCTCTCCCTGGGCTGCCACAGAATGATTCACTTCAGTCTGTTGCACGGGGTGACCCCTCCTAACCCTTCACCCCTCTCCCCCAGCTTCCCCAATACCAAGGCATGGATAGAGCCTCTGCTGCAGCTACGCAGGCTGAGTGGATGGTGCAGAGGCAGGAGGGCGGTGGTGACGGCAGGGAGCCAGCAGCAAAGAGCATGCTGCAGCGGATCAGGCTGCAGGACCATCTGAGCGTGGCTTGCCCAAGGCCTACTGCATGGAGCTGGAGGGGGAGGAGGGGGTGGCAAGATTGCTTCCACCCAGCATTTTCCACAGCACCAGCAGAGGCCAGAGCCTCCACCCAGGATGCCCGCTCACAGGCTGGAGAGAATCAATTGGTGGGCCAGATATGGCCCACAGGCCGTATTTCACCCACCCCTGGTTTAACGTGGAGGAATGCTTAAAAACTTGTAAGAGAGGAAAGCTGACAAGAACAGATGACTACCCATGGAATTTTATGAGACATTCTGGCCATGGACAGATATAGTAGAGTTTTTCAAAGGAATAGTGGAAAAAAGATAGGAAGGGAAGGGCTTTACAAGTAGAATAGCAATTTTATTACTCAAGAATGGGGAGAAAGCTTCTAAAGAGCTGGAGACTGATTACCCTGCTAAATACAGACTACAAGTTATTGGCAAAGACAGCAACTTCGAGAATATAGAAGAACCTGATAAAAAATACAAGAAGATCAAACCTGCACAATCCCAGGCAGGAGAATTTCTGACTTGATCCAGCTGATAAGAGATACACGGACTCATGTTCAAGAGAAGAAATGAAATACAGCAATAGCAAATTTGGATCTGGAGAAAGCATATGATGGAGTGGAACATGATTTTATGTCTGAAGTGTTAAGGAAAATGGGTTTCCCAAAGAAATTGATAGGATGGATAAGTGTGTTATAAAGAGAGGCAGACATGGCCAAGTGCTAATAAATGGACATCTGAGCAGAGCCTTTAAAATCTTAACAGGGGTAAGACAAAGGTGCCCACTGCCACCAATACTGTCCATATGTGCAATGGAGCCACTGGCACAAAGAATAAGGAAAGATAAAATCATAATTAGGGTAATGATACTGGGAATGAGAAAGGTAAATTGTGCACTCTATATGGATGATAACAATGCAGTGATTAGAGACGAATTATCAATTGAAAGGGTACTAAAACATGCTATGGAGTATGGTGAAGCAATTGGGTCTAAATTAAACAAAATGGAAAGCACTATAGTGACAGTGGGAAACTGGAAGGACCTAGAGAAGCTTGGACTAGAAGTCATGGAGAGAGAGATCAAAGTTTTAGGGATTCCAATTAAGACAAAAGGGAACAGAAATAAAAAAAGTGTGGGGAAAAAGTGACAGCAAGGGTATGACAAGTATTATGGATGGGAAGGACACTGACCTTTGCTGGAAAAGTGGTGACAGTTAAAGTGGTGCTACTGCTAATAATTTTGTACATCGGAACTGTGTTTCCATCATCATGGCAGCAGCTAGCAAAAGTAGAAAGGGAAATAAGTCTTTTCTTTTCAAAAGTGGAGAAGGAAAAGCTAGCCAGAATGGAACTGTATAAAGCAAAAGAGATGGGGAAATGGGGGATGCTGGGCATAAAGTTGTTCATTTACACAAACTATCTAAAGTGTAGGGTGTAAAGTAGCAAAAGCAGGGAAAGGAAATGCAGCATCTTTTACCTGATTGTTGGCAGGTATGATCTTGAGAAGATGTGGAATGCATGGGGGCTCTTGGAAGAAGCCATGGGCATGGCAACCTCCTGTTCATTACATAAGAATGGAAAGTTTTATAAGGATGTACAAAATAGGAGGGATGGGCCT